CTTGGAACCATAAGGACACAAAAAACTGAGAAATAATTTAGGCTCTGCCTGTGATTCACTCTTTGCTTCTCTTCTTCCTTCCATCCCATCATTTCATATATCACTCTCCACTTGCTGTCTATCTGAGAACAAGGCACAACTTGCTATTGCAATAAACTATAATTTAATTATCCACACCTAACAACTCCAGCACTTTATCTATAATAAAATGATGACAGAAAAATGTTATAGCCCTGCCTTTAGTAGCCTCACACAGCTCCTGCTGTTTCCTCCTCATGTGTTTCTTTGTTTCTGATCTAGCCAGTAAAAAGGCAACATAGACTTCTTTTGATCTCTGCTTGAAGCAGATGAATCAGCAGACACTGGTGCATAACATCTAGGGATTTCCATCTGGATAAGATCAGGAATCTCCTGTTCCCAGGCAAGCCATCTGTCACGAAGGCTGGGTGGCTGGATTGGGTCATCCCAGCCGAGCTGTTCCTTCCAAAGATCCTGTAACAGAATCTTGGCTTGTGTGGCACTATACTGTATAACCTAGACAATCGTACTGACAGGTGAGTGTTTTGTAGACATTCCTCAGTGTGTCGATGTCTGTATTTGAAGCGTGGTGGAGTTGGCGCAACAAAGCAGTGGTGTGGCATACCTCTGTATCCCATCAACAATGACCCAGATGGTTGGTGTTGGAGTAGGTTTTAGAGCTTGCTGATCTTGCGTCGATTGAGTTACCTGCTTCTCGCTCACATAAGGCAGCATATCAATCTGCCAAAGATGCTCAACATTTCTGAAAGGCTCGCAGGTTGGCACTGTTGTTGTGAACAGGCACTGCTGCTCGGATGCAGGGGTCTGGTCAATGCTGGTAGGACCTTGGAGCAAGTCAAGTCAAGTCAAGTCAACTTTATTTGTCAATTCTGCCACATGTACAGGACATACACAGAATAGAAATTGCGTTACTCTCAAACCCTAGTGATTAGAAAAATGCAAATAAAATAATTAAAAAGTAAAAATTTAAATAAATACAATACAATTTTACGTATAACAAAAAAAAAAGCTATGCAATATACAATATACAATATTCAAGTAAGAAGGCATAGTGGTGCAAAATAGGCAAATAGTGCAAATGGGGATTTAGTAGTGTACGGTAAGAGATAGTGTAACAACAAAGTCTTATGAGGTCCAATGCTTAAGCAGTCCAATGCTCCACAAAGTGACTGGAGCAGGCCAGTGAGTGCGTCAGAGAGTGAGTGTGTGTGTGTGTGTGACAGAGTTCAGTGAGACCGTGGTGGAGAGGAGGGGAGAGGGGGGCAGAATCGGGAGGGAGTTAAGCTTCCTGACAGCCTGATGGATGAAGCTGTCCTTCAGTCTGCTGGTCCTGGCCTGGAGACTCCGCAGTCTCCTCCCTGACGGCAGCAGCTTGAAGAAGCTTTGCATTGGGTGCGTGGGATCAGCCGCTATGCAAAGGGCTTTTTTAGTGAGACGGGTGCTGTAAATGTCCTGGAGGGAGGGGAGAGAGACACCAATGATCCTCTCTGCAGCTCTCACTATGCGTTGGAGGGTTCTATGGCAGGACGCATTGCAGGCTCCAAACCACACAGTGATGCAGCTCGACAGGATGCTCTCGATGGTGCCTCTGTAGAAAGTGTACATGATGGGGGCTGGAGCTCCTGCTCTTCTTAGTTTGCGGAGAAAGAAGAGACGCTGCTGTGATTTCTTGGCCAGTGCTGTGGTGTTGTACGTCCAGCAACCAACCAAGCTTGGTATAGACAGCAATGGGTCCCCCTGTTGGACCCAAATGAACTGGTTCTGTGGGTGTCAGGAGATGAGGCATGTCAGCGCCGATAAGCAGCAGAGGTTGAACATGGTCTACCAAAGGCAGAGGTAAGTCACTCAAGTGTTTATAGTGACGCTGGAGAATCTTCACTGGATGCGAATGTTCTGAGAGACCAAGAGCATCAGCGGTGAATGCCTTGTGTATATGATACTTCTCCCCAGATTTGTCGGGGGAGGATACTTGGAAGGAAACTGAGGCACTGCGAAGCTACACTACCTCTTGGTGGACAGTCTGCACGGTAAGTGTCTCAGACTGAGGGGTTCAAGCGTTGAACAGCTTGTGGTAAAATGATGCTTCATTCTGAGCCATCATCTAGTATTGCAAGAGTCTCCAGTGTTCGGTCTCCATTGTACAGCAATACCTTTACAACCTTTGGCATAACAATGGGGGACCGGTTTGGCCTATCCAAGTGCACCGTTGTAGTCGGAGGAGTCATCATGAGCACACGCTTCTGGATCTGCTGGACCGCGTCACACAGTACTGTCAGGTGCTACAGAGTGGTACTGGCCTATTCCAGACACTAACATTCCAGACACTCTGGATCCCTGCAGTATGTCTACCGACCCAATAGGTCCCATCAGACACCATTGCTGCTGCCCTTCACTATTCCCTTTTCCATCTGGAAATTGTATATATACAATATATATATGTGTGTAAATTGCCCTGCAGGGGGTCTAGCAGCCTGGGAGCTTGAGGGTCCTGCGCAGTATCTTAGCTGTTCCTAGGACTGCACTGTTATGGACAGAGATCTCCGTAGTCGGTATCTGTAGCCAGTCTTGTCAATGATCTCATTGAGGGGGTCTAGGCCTATGCAGAACAGTAGTGGGGACAGAGAATCTCCTTGGTAGATCCCGCACCTGATGGTGACTTGTGCTATGGGCTTGAAGTTGGCCTCTAGTATTGTCCACCACATCTCCACTGAGTTCCTGATGAAGGGTCTTAGGGTCCTTCATTTTTTAAATACAAGGATATGACATGTAATTCATCCGATCCTGGCTCTAGCGCTCCTTCCGACCTTGAGCGGTATTATCGTGTACTACATTGTCGCTTTTTGTTGTGTTTTTCTTTTCTTTTTCTTTTTCTTTTTTATTTCTTGACAAAGGGAATCAGGAATATATCTAGCTGGGTCACCACTATAGACAATCCGGCAGAGGAGGAGGAAGGTAAATCGAATTGAGTTTTTTCTTTTTTTAAATACACAGGATATGACGTAGTCATTCAACCGATCCATGCTATATTGCCCCTCCCGATCTGGAGTGGTATAACGTGTTGTAGAAAGGTTTGATCAATTCGCGCTTAAAAAAAGAATACATTCTCTGTTTTTTTTCTTTCACGCTTATGGTACCCAACAGAGGGAGTTGAAGCATCCCTAGCTCTCCCTCCTATTACACCCAAACCTTGCGGGCTGCACGTCAGGAGACTCGGAGGTAATTGACCGGGATGAACCGATCCTATAAATTTAAAAAAATTTGTTCAATTACATTTTTAAGATAATTTACATAAAACTATGTCACAATCTGATGTTGTATTAATAAAGCTCTCTGCCTCGTTGAACGTATGAATCAGCCCTATAAATAAATTTAAAAAAGTGTAAACGATTCAAAGATAAGTGCAGCATCATTACCGGCAGGGGTGGCAGGAGAAGGAGGAGCAGCCTGCGGAGCATCAGCACTGAGGATCTCGGGTACAAAATCAAAACGAGGTTGTGACCCGTCACTATAACTTCTGTGTTTCCCAAAAACACTATGGCCATCCCCTCCCCCGAAAACTACTGGCGTCTGTCCAAAGCTTACTCACACGCGTCCATTCAGTGGTTGGAGTGGGAAGCTAAAATCCCTATTCCATACACGTTAAAGGCGGAAAGAGAGAGAAAAAATAGGCCCATACTTTGTAGACGGTTACTCGGAGAGAGAGGGAGAGAGGTGGGTCTGGGAGTTTCTGGGATGCTTTTATCACAGGTGTCCTAAGTGCCACAGGTCCAAGGAGATCTGCCCTCTGACTCCGGCCAGTAGTAAACTCACAGTAGCACAGGAACAGAGCGGGAGGGAAAGAGAGAGAAAGAGAGCCAGGGACAACAACAAGAGACAACATCGTCACATTAGAAAGGTATAGTAATCATCCACAATTATTTGTAGTTGCAGATGAGAAAGAATTCAGAAAGTTTACACATGCTGTGAATCCTATGTGTGCAATTCCAGGCAGGAAAACACTCTCCAAAAAATCATCCCAGGCTTATGTGAAAGAGAAAGTGCATCTTCTTTTTGTTTTGCATATTTTAATTTATATTTTATTGTGTTGTGGCTTGTGGCTCTCTTTCTCTCTCTGCTTTGTCTCTAGGGGCCACCGTATATATAAACATTTATAAATAAAAACACGTTTTTTTTTTAACATTAGTAATTCCTTTTGTGCATAATTTTATATTGTTGTTGATAATAAATTAATTAAAGCAACAAAACAACCTGAAGAGCTGGTTGGGAGCCGAAAGAGCCGGCTCTTTTTATTGAGTTGAGCCGAAAGAGATGGCTCTCTAAAAAAGAGCTGGAATTCCCATCACTACTACCAATGTGAGCTCCGGGAGAAATGCTTACTGCGTCCACACGGTCGTGATGAGGGAGCACGAATAGACCAAAATGAAAAATCAAACGAGGAGGTCAAAAAGTTCCTGCAGAGCTAAGACGCTCCCGAACCTCTGTCCCCTCGCTCTGCCCTTTACGGAGGCGAACTTGAGGCTGTGGTACAGCGCCTTGCCTGGAGAAAATGTGTAGGCCTGGTGTATCTGCCGCGAAGGCTCTTTTCCCCCATTCTACCGTACAAAACATCTCGAGGTAAATTGATCTTTACCCTCTGCCGCACTTTTTCTGAAATAATCACTTCATAATTAACTCTCATGGTATCTTTTTCCGGCGATTCTTCAGATGAGGACAATTTAAATCAAGCTATAATTGCGAGCTTGGAGAGTCCCCAAAGAGGGACAAAAGGACACCCTGATGATCCTCTACCTACTCACATGAGGCAAGGTGTGAAAACAAGTGTGGGTCACAATCAGCCAGGGTTTGGGGGGATACTCCCACTGGGTTTAAATCTGGGACTCTCCACCATTTGACCCTTAGAACTGAAGAAGCTTGTCGGATGAGAGGTGAAAACATCTTTAAGCAACTTAAAGAAGTCCAGACGCTTTTTTCCCCGCTCTGCTGTGTGGGAAGGAGCCTTGCGTGGTTTTCAAAGGATATCTTATGATCCCAACTTGATGATCAGTGTGAAAATCTCAGATGATATGGGGAAAAATGAGGAAGGGGTTGATTTAGGCGGGCCAAGGAGGGAAGACTATCAATGGACACCATTGCCAGGTCAGCCATGTTTGAGGGGAAAGAAAACTGCAAGAACTTGGCTCTTGACAGTACTGGTAATTACCTATTTTTCTAATATTAATAATAATAATAATAATAATGGATTGGATTTATATAGCGCTTTTCAAGGCACCCAAAGCGCTTTACGATACCACTATTCATTCACTCTCACATTCACACACTGGTGGAGGCAAGCTACAGTAATAGTGTAAACTTTTTAACTGATATTTATTTTTACAGGCAACATTACTGACAGTTTTGCTTTTCCCTTTATTCTGTTGCTTTGCAGCTCTCTGAGGGTACTGGTACTACATCTCTGGCAGAGCCATTGCAGTGAGCTTGGTACATGGTGGTCCACCACCTAACTTTCTGTCACCAACAGTATTTTCTTTTCTAGTTGGAAATTCAGCAAATCCACCCTGGAAGACATAGCTGATTCGGTACTCTTTGAAAAAGTCGAAGAGTTCCAAGTTGAAGAAGAATTGTCTCCCCATATGCTAATCAAGTCCAAAACCTCAGTTTCTGTCCATTGACTCGCTGTCTCCAGTTTCCCCCACCATGCTTTCTCGTTTGTCTTCTCCGGTGCAGTGTGAACATAGAGTAAGAGACAGGGATCTGCTGGTACATGACATTGTCATATTTCAGGTCATCCACAGGGTCCTATTCAAAGGTATTTGGGTATTCTGTGTTTTTCAGATTAATTAAAATAGTGATAGAAATCTTACCTATTAATCAAAATGGCCAGTTTAATAACCTAATACAATTCGAATTGCCAAATTGATTATATGCAGTTAACTTAGAAACCTGAAATTGCATAATTATTAACATTCATCTATTAACATTCATCATTTTCAACATTCATCTATCTCCAGAAGGAAGCAACAGAAGAACTGCTGAGGAGATGGTTGTTACATTCTGGAGGGACTATCTCCAAGCTACAGAAGGTAATTGGCACTTTAGTGTACAATAAACAGATATAGCGATTTATAGTTCTGCATTTCTGAAAACTTTACTTTAAATAACATACTTGTATAACAATAACACCACAGCTTCTGCTGCTTCTTAATTACCCTCTTGGTTGTAGTAACATTTTTACATAGTTTTTGAAGCTGTTGAAGGATGAAAAGCGTGTTCTATAGTCATTACAATAACAGTCTTTCAAAGATTCTTGCTTTAGATTAATACTCACTGACAAATTATTCTGGCAAAATAATCTAATATGAAGTTACCTTATAACATTTATTTCCTTCTCTGTTTTATGCAGAAGAAGAAGGACATTCCAAGTTAGAGAAGCTATTGGCCTTTGCAACTGGAGCAACTGCGGTGCCACCTATTGGCTTTTCCCCAGCACCCTTGATTGAGTTCATTCATAGAGGAGATGACGACTTCTCTTCTACACCAATTTTCCCTCTTGCCAACACGTGTGTTAACTGCATTAGGCTGCCACTGCATGTTTCATACCAGTTGTTCAAGGAGATGTTTGATTTTGCCTTAGGTAACACTTACGTCTTTGGCAGGGTGTGAACACATTATGCTGTATGAGTTTGTGGTTTTATCTTTTGTATTGGTCTCTCTGCTGATTCAAAGTGAGCATTGAATATTAACTTTTTAAGGTTTTAATATTTCCAAATTTAGCTGCGTCAGTCAAATTGATGTTTTAAGACATCAATTTGACAAGAAGTGATTGTTCTTCAGGATTAAAATCCAATTGTTTAACAGCACTTCAGAAGTTTATTTACACTGTTGAGTATGAACATATAATCTTTGTCTCACTTTAGTCTTTTCATGTGCATGTGCATCTGTCTTTGATATGGTTGTCTTTCTGTCTGTTTATTCTTCTGCCTGTCTCAGTTTCTGTTTGATTGACAACAGAGCTGTCATTTTATCCTATTGATTGATTGATAATACTTTATTCATCCCGAGGGAAATTGAGTTAAGGCTGCCAGCCGTGCCAGCTCCATCTTACCCTTCCGACCATACATACATTACGCAAAACATCACATGGGCAAGACAGGTCAGAGAGGTATAACAATGGAAAATGCACCACACGAGGAAAGATAAGGAGAAAAAAAAACACCTCTGCACATAGCACATGAAAAACTCTTAATACACCAAAGAAACACATGACAAGCAACAGGGGTGGGTAAAGGGTGCAGCATCAGAAGGGAATAAGCATCGAAGGCATTTGGAAAGGGAGGGGGGATGAGTGTGTGCATATCAGTGTATATGTATGTGTGTGCGTTTCCAGAGTTCAGCTGAGACAGTGTCCTTCGCCCTGCTAGGCTAAGTAAACAGTCTTCCAGCCAACCCAGGTGGCCTTGCATGGAATGTGAAGGAACAGACTAAACACAGTCGTTATCAGGGTGTTGTTGTTCAGCTCCAGCCTTGAGACCGCAGCTGGTGCCAAAGGGGGTATCCGCATGAAGTGATGGTGGTTTTTACTTTAGTGCGAACAGCTCATATGAATTTCAAAGCAGTTCTACAGTCCAACACTGGTATCGCAATCTCCCTTTGGAGAGCCGCGAGCTTCGGCATACTCGCACTCTGTGATGTTGTCATTTCTTGTGCTCAAGGAGCCGATTTCTGAGAACTCACGGCAGTGTGCCTCCCCGAGATGTCATCCAATTTGCGCCCAGAGATGTTATTCTGAGCTAGCCCTTCCGTGATGTATCCAGTCTGCAGTCAGAGATCTTATTCTGAGTATTCACAGCAGCCGTAGCCTCTCCAAGATCTTATCCTGACTCAGTGAGCCCATTTTGAGAAACTCACACCTCTCCCATCATTCCAATCCCAGCGGGCAGCCTTGTGGGGATTTGAACAGCCGGTTCTGCTTTCTTAATTCTTCGATAAGTCAGGGCCAAGCCAGCTCCGATGAGCCAGAACCCTGTTACCATGGTTAGATATCTTCAGCACTCAGGCTCACCCAAGCCCAAACTTCTCGTTGAGAAAGGGGTGTCAATTGCATTTAGGGACCAGTTGATCCAATCCATAATTCCTCTTTTAGGTTTTAGAGAACAGACTGTGAGAATGTTCCAGGGAAAAGTAATACAAAAAACACAAGAGGAGGAGAGGAGAAAAGTGTGAATGCCTTCGTCAAGAGCAAGAGCAAGGAAATGCTTAAAGAAAATGCTTTCAATATTTTGTTATTTTTGATCAGATATGTGTTCTGAAATGTTTTTTTTGTTTTTAAAATTTTTTTGCAAAATATTTGATTCAATGTAGAAGGTGTAATAGTGAACATCTATTTCATGATTTCCGTCATTTTCTAAAGGATTCTGTCATGGTCCCTGTGCCTGTTTGGCTGGCTCAGTGTGGCTACAAGTGTTTTTGAGCTAAGATTTTAAAGTTATTCACATAATGAAAACCTATACTTTGTTTCGGGCGAGTTGCCCATTCAAATGCATGTAATCGTAAGAAACGCACTGTCTTGACGAAATAAAGCGTTTTTGTACAACTTCATATAAATAGCTGTAAGTTTTGATAGAAGACTCTGTTAGAGAGTTATCTCTAGGATGCTGGGATGATAGCTCCCTCAGGACTTAAACTCCAGTCAGAGAGTGGGGCACAGAGAGTGATGTCCGGATATACTTTAATGGAAGTTAACAGCAGCTCAACAGTACAGCAGTAGGCATACTTAACGAATGTGGGACGGGTGGACAAACGTGTGCGTTGCTGTGCAAATGTGAGTCAAAATCCCTCCAGTTCTACGAGTCCATTTCTACTTATAGCACGGGTGGTACTTTGATGTTAATTACAAGGGGTTTATGCTAGGAGATTTATCGAGATGGGTAGAGGCGTGTGACTTACCACCGTAGCATTTGTTGCGGGTTGTATCTGTGCACTGCAGTTGGGTTATTTAGCCACTAGAGGGCACTGAAGACCATATAATTGCTGACCTTTCCTAATTTGGGGGCATTAGGTCTTTTCTGTTGCCTGAGATATGCAGATATTCTTGTTTCCTGCTTGTTCAAATGGGATTGTGGGACTTTCTTATGTCAGAGCATTCAGCTGATTATTTGTGTTACAGTTCATTATATTGGCATGATGTTGGGAAGTGACGATTGTTATATTTACATGTGGTAATTGTTTCTCCTTGTTTCTTGTTATTCAGAACCACACGTCTGTCCACCCCTCCCACACTTGTTAAGTATGCCTACTGCTGTACTGTTGAGCTGCTGTTAACTTCCATTAAAGTATATCTGGACATCCAACACGTTCTCACTCCCAACTCGTCAAACGTGTGACGCATGGTCAGGCTCCCTCTGCTTCACTTATGGACGCGCAGGGTACCCCTCTCGCGTCGGGAATTGACGTGAAGGGTCCTCCGAGTGAGGAGATTGCTGCGGAAGTGCCTGTTGTCGGTATATTTAGACATTTTCCAAATCACATTGTAGTGATGTATACAGAACACAATAAATTATGTAATGTAAACAACTACCTGAAAAACAGGTAGAACGATACTTTTGTATCGTTTATTGCATTTACGGAGGGAGTGGTGTATGCTGGGTAATGGCACAGCTAGCTACTGGGTGACTTTATTCACCCGCTTAGGCCGTTATCAGTCCATACAATGGACGTTATTAGCACAAATCAGTCCCATAGATATGGGCCATCTCCTGCTAGACTGTTCAGAAGGTTGTTATCATCCATCCAGATGGAGGATCACTAACAGGAGCGTGGAAGACTCCAGAATCCACTCTGGCTGGAATCCGGTGGATATTTCGTCAAGACAGTGCGTTTCTTACGATTACATGCATTTGAATGGGGAAATCGCCCGAAAAAAAGTGTAGGTTTTCATTATGGGAATAACTTTAAAATCTTAGCTCAAATGGCTGCATAACCAATTTGCCCCGCACGCAGATGCTGTATTCTATAAGGCAAAGCCATAAATATGGGTGTCTTAGTCTTCTATCAAAAGTTACAGCTATTTATATGAAGTTGTACAAAAAGACTTTATTTCGTCAAGACAGTGCGTTTCTTACGATTACATGCATTTGAATGGGGAAATCGCACGAAACAAAGTATAGGTGTTCATTATGTGAATAACTTGAAAATCTTAGCTCAAACAGTTTTAAAACCTGTTTGCCCAGCACGGGGATATTGAAGTCTATAAGATAAAGCCATAAATATGTGTGTCTGAGTCTTCTATCAAAAGTTACAGCTATTTATATGAAGTTGATGAAAAACGCTTTCTTTCGCCAAGACAGTGCGTTTCTCACTGTTATATGCATTTGAATGGGGAATTCGCCCGAAACAAAAGTATAGGTTTTCATTATGTGAATAACTTGAAAATCTTAGCTCACACAGCTTTAAAACCTGTTTGCCCAGCACGGGGATATTGAAGTCTATAAGATAAAGCCAGAAATATGTGTGTCTGAGTCTTCTATCAAAAGTTACAGCTATTCATATGAAGTTGTACAAAAACGCTTTATTTCGTCAAGACAGTGCGTTTCTGACTATTACATGCATTTGATTGGAGTTCTCGCACGAAACAAAGTATAGGTTTTCATTATGTGAATAACTTGAAAATCTTAGCTCAAAGAGCTGCAAAACCTGTTTGCCCAGCACGGGGATATTGAATTCTATAAGATAAATCCATAAATATGTGAGTCTGAGTCGTCTATCAAAAGTTACAGCTATTGTCATGGTCCACGGCCCGGCGTCCGAGGTGCGGATGGGATGCCCACTCCCGTGGGCGTGGCTGCTAACTCCACACCTGCATCCCATCCCGGGCGATCACCAGGTGGACTATTTAATCCTGCCCAGCCTGCTGCTCCACGCCAGTCCGTAGTCGTCCTTCAGCGATCACAGCTCGGCGTGTTTGAGCCACCAGCCTGTCCACCTGCCTGTCCGGAATTTGGATCACAATCAGCCCCAGCCGCCTCGACCTTTCTGAAGCTTCTCCCCACGCACCCTCACCCCTCCCTCCAGATCCCTCGGCCCCGCTATCATCGTAAGACGCGTACTCTACTTCCCCTCGTATGCTGCCGTTTTCCCCGCACCCCAATAATCCTTTTTTCCTTTTTCTGTTTCACCCTCCCACAGTCCCGCTCTCGGCGTTCCTGCGCGATTCACCTCCCGGTCCCTCGGTTTTTCTGGTTCCTTGCGTTTTTTTCCCTTCTACCCTCCCGGGACACCCTCAGTTATAATAAAGTTTATTTTTTGTTCTCTCGTACCGCTGTGTGTGTGTTCTGCTCCTGGGTCCAGCTTGTGCGTGGAACGTCGGTTCATGACAGCTATTTATATGAAGTTGTACAAAAACGCTTTATTTCGTCAAGACAGTGCGTTTCTGGCGATTTCAATTCATTTGAATGGGGAACTCGCCCGAAACAAAGTATAAGTTTTCATTATGTGATTAACTTGAAAATATTAGCTCAAACAGCTGCAAAACCTGTTTGCCCAGCACGGGGATATTGAATTCTATAAGATAAAGCCATAAACATGTGTGTCTGAGTCGTCTATCAAAAGTTACAGCTATTTATAGTAAGTTGTACAAAAACGCTTTATTTAGTCAAGACAGTGCGTTTCTGGCGATTTCAATTCATTTGAATGGGGAACTCGAACGAAACAAAGTATAGGTTTTCATTATGTGAATAACTTGAAAATCTTAGCTCACACATCTGCAAAACCTGTTTGCCCAGCACGGGGATATTGAAGTCTATAAGATAAAGCCATCCATCCATCCATCCATCCATCCATCCATCCATGCATCCATCCATCCATCCATCCATCCATTTTCATCCGCTTTATCCGATGCCGGGTCGCGGGGGCAGCAGCCTAAGCAAAGAGGCCCAGACCTCCCTCTCCCCAGCCACCTCCTCCAGCTTATCCGGGGGAATACCAAGGCGTTCCCAGGCCAGCCGAGAGATATAATCTCTCCAGCGTGTCCTGGGTCTGCCCCGGGGCCTCCTTCCGGTGGGACATGCCTGGAACACCTCACCCAGGAGGCGCCCAAGGGGCATCCTTGTCAGATGCCCGAACCACCTCAGCTGGCT